CCAGACAAGTAAGCAAAGTCGTGAGGACAGAACCTTAAGGCTCATGCCCTAGCAGGAAGAACGAAACTGCAAAGGTAAAAAGCATAAAAAAACAAGTGCCAGGATGGAATAAACCATAACAGCTCCGAGTAACAAGGCCAAACAAAGGTTGTTGAGTTTCTGCTCATCATGATTACTTCAAAGGAGGGAAGTTTAAAGTAGTAAACAAAGGACAGCTGGCACTAAGGTCCACTCCAGCAACAGGTCTGGTAGCAAAACCAGAGTAAAGCTTGACAACAAAGGAAGCTAACTCTACCAAAGACACAATGGAAGATGTCAGAAATAAATATCACCTGGTTTAATTCTTGTAAAGTTCCTGAAATCACTGTGAAAAACATTACTGAGAAATGTTCTGTGCTTAGAAAATACTTTCTGGGGGCTGGGAAGGTGGCTCAGTGGTAGAGCACTTGCCTTGCATGTTCTAGGCCCTGGGTTCGATTCCTCAGCACCACATAAGCAAAAAGAAAAAAGCCGGAAGTGGCGCTGTGACTCAAGTGGTAGAGCACTAGCCTTGAGCTGAAGAGCTGAGGGACAGCGCCCAGGCCCAGAGTTAAGGCCCCACGACTGGACCCCACCCCCAAAAAAACGAAAATACCTTCTGCTGAGCAATCTTTTTTGTTGTTGGTCGTGGTGGGGCTTGAACTCTGGGCTTGGGCACTGTCCCTCATCTTTTCAGCTCAAGGCAAGCACTCTACCTCTTGAGCCACAGCACCACTTCTGGTTTTCTGAGTGGTTTATTGGAGATGAGTCTCACACTTTCCTGCCTAGACTGGCTTTGAACCGAGATCCTCAGATCTCAGCCTCCTGAATAGCTAGGATTACAGCTGTGAGCCACCAACACCTGGCCTACTGAGCAATCTTAAGACCCAGGCTTGTTGTGCTCACAACTTTTTTGTTTGGCTGGTTTGGGGCGGTAGGTACCAGAAGTTGAACTCAGGGCTAGCACTCCTTTGGCTCACTTGCCCAGGCTGGTGCTCCTGTCCAGTACATGAAATCTTTTTTTTTCCCCTGTTATCTGAGCCTTTGGAGATGTTAACTGAGGTCTTTAGTTAAAATTCTGATAGGCTCAAAAACACTGTACCCTACCTTGATTTACTAGGAAGCTCCCTGATGCAGAAATTCTTTTTTAGTAGCTCTTAGGTATTTTTTCCAGAATGCACTTATTTACAGTGCTCTTATTTTTGACATATAATATTTACGGCTGCAGTAAATTTGATACACGTATACGATACATATTACATTAAGGTACATAACCAGTCAATGGAATCTGGAGGCATTTTCTGCCCGGGTGGCCTCAAACCTCGATTCTCTAGACCTCGGCCTTCTGAGTAGCTAAGATTACAAGTGTGAGCCACAGCCTTGCAGCCCAATCAGATCTTATACTAACCACAGCGGGGGGCAGGTGTCCCTTGCCCACTTTTCCTTCTGTCTGCAGCGCTGGCCAGGGGTGCGCTCAAGGAAGGCTGGTCCCAGGACAGACAGACTTGCCCCACCCCCCGCCCCACACACAGCAGGAGCAGATTCCAGGGTCCCCCTCTGCACTGCTGTCCTGCTAGTCTAGCCAGGGTGTCGTATTTTTTCAACACAAGGAAATCCAGACAGTGTCAGACACTGAAACAACACTAGCACGGAAAGGCGGGAGGGCCCCTTGCCTCCCACCCCGGTGCCACCGTGCACGCGCGAAGCGGGCGTGGACAGTGCTGACCGGCACGGGCCCCTCGCAGCGACCCCTCCAGGCTCGCGGCCGGAGGAGGCCCCCGCCCCGGCCTGGGCTCGCCACGCAGCTGCT